TTGGTAATTTCTTTCCTGATCAGAAGATTTCTCTTGTTAATCAATCTTGATCCTGTAATATTGTATTAGAAATCAACAAATATATTCGTATTAATTCCAATCAGCATGTAGATGTACATGTAGTTTACATAAATGCTTTTGGATATAGACATTACACAAAGGTGTCAATATTTACACACCCACCGAATAGTTGTCATAAATCACGCATGTTGAAGATTGAACTATCAATATTTTTTTTCAAGAAAATTAGGCCCGTGACCCCCTTTTTATGTATATATATATATTTCAGAAGTATTATTTAACGAAATTATCTCTTCGAATTTTAGACAATTCTATCGTTTTATGTTTCTTCAATAAGGAAAACTTAAGTTTCCCTTATATAAACAAAATAAAATACCCTAAATGTAGTTAATTTCAATGTATTGTTACGAAAAAACAAGGTCCGCGATCCCCAGTTTTTATATTGAAATTTGAAATTACGTTGACCGAAAAGTCTTTTACAGAAGCTTACGAAACATTTATCGCCGAAAATTTTGACACCCCATCTGCCTTATTGAATGAAGTGGATATAAGCAATTATAATAGGCAACCATAAGGCCATCAACCATGAGAAAAATCTCTAACGTTTAGTTCGGTTATAAAAGGTCCCGACATAGTAACATTATTTTCTTCACCCTCTCCCTTCTTCCCTATACCTTATACTCTATAATTCTATAATACTAGTAATCTTCAATATTGAGACTTGAGAAGAAAAAATTACTTCAAAATTGTATTCTCCTCTACTTCTGAATGATACACAAAAGAAAAACACAAGAATGCAAATTTCGCTATCCTTTCGAAATTGGAATTTGATCAAGAAAAAAACTGCATGTTCTATTTTTATCATACATGTGTAGTTTCAGTTTCAACCATGGTTCTAAATTACTTTCCCAAAACATTGCGGACGGAATAGAAGACACCTGTTTATTTTCTGCTCCTTGAGAACTGAGATTTGGATGAGATAGATGATTTACTTATTCTGAGATAAATGTCACAGTGCTAAATTATAAGTTTCTGTGTAATGTTTTGTAGACGGAATCTGATTTTTTTGTTCGTTTTTTTTTCTGTAAGCTTTGTCCTTCCACTTATGTATACATGTTAAAAATGTTTCACTTGTGGTCGATTACCCTTTAGTATCGTTTATACATTTCAAACAAATATAAATTATCCTAAAATTTTCAATTGCTTAAAAAACGGGACATGCCAACGACTTTCTAGTTCAACATACATATTTACATGCAATTTACCGGTAATTATTCGTTACCTTCAAGATTACGCTACACTGACACTGTCAATTTCATTCAAATAATATGGTGGGGTCAATTCTGGATCGATTTTAACGAGTGTGATACGACTAGAAGCAGAATTGTCACTAGTGTATTTGTTCATTTTTAATTTCTGTTGAAATAAATACGAGCGGTATTATGTACCCGCATCTTCGTGAGGCTAAAACAAAAACAGTTGCAAACTAACACACAATAGGATACTAATATCTAAGATTTCTGATTGGGGTCAGCTAATTTCTTTGAAATTTTGACATAGCACAGGAATACTTGTTTGGGTTCATGATAGACCGCACAAAGTCATTAAAATGAAGATTTCTCTTTCATGTGCCCATTTCCCGTTCTTGGAGTAGGGGAGATAACTTGCGTAACTAACGACGCACGTTTTGAATCCCGAATTCCGCTAGAGGCGTGCAATTACGTATACTTCCCCTTAAGATCTTTTCAAGTGTTTCGGTACTAAAACATCCTATGGTTTTAATTATTTGAAATTGAGCACACGATTTCTAAAGTGTTATATCTTTAATCGAAAAAAGAATACATTTGAATGCACTTCAGTTCAAGAGCAGTCTTTTTATATACTGAAATGTAAATCAATTAGAATTATAGATTATCGTTGATCATCTCAACGAGATTGATTTTCTCGCTTGAGCCGGTACGGAGAAAGCGAGAAAAGCAATCGAGTTGAGATGACCAATGATAATCTGTTTATCGCTATTTTACCTATGACGACGTTGTCAATTTAAATGTCAATTTCATTACCAACGGCACGTGCCCCCTTAGTTTCTATCGATAATTTTCATATCACTCTACTGTGCTGAGAAAGGAAATTATCAGTCAGTAAGATCAAAGGAAATTTTCATAAAATAGCGATAAAAAAACATCAAGGTAACAAAAAAGATCAATATCGGGTGCGTCGACAGGATAAGCGTCTCCGGCTATGCATGCATTACCCGCCATGCATATTAACGCTTACTAAAAATATAACAATCGGGTATATGATACAATTGGTAAAATAACAGATCAGTGAGTTGAGATACATCATATCGGTCCATCAATTCGTGATGGTGAGAGGAAATTAAAAAAAAAAGATTATGGTTTATTTTGATCCAAGAAGACAACTGTACTTATTGTAGATGCAAGTTCATTAAGTATTTGCGCTTTGCTTACCAAGGAAGGTAAGGAGAACGCATATGCATGATGCGCGCTTATTGGTGTAGAGAAAAGATATAGTTAGACAGAGCGAGATGGACTAGCCATAGTATTGTTACGGTTTAGGGTGTAAGTTGTAGGTTTGTACATATGACTTTTTCTGGCTACTCAGTAAAACACTCCCTTCTACTTTCACGTTCGTCATTTGCCGTTAGCCAACGCGTATATAAAGACATTTAATGAACATTACTTATAATTTTATTTTTGTTGTATGTAGATATTGTTAGTAAGGTCTCTGAGAATGATATAGAGTTCGTATTCACTGTTGACTAGGGGTCCCTTGACTGAACGACAGTTCCCAACTTCTGTTCACCCTTATTTCACACGTTCCGCCTTCACGTCAGTGACCTCATGATCTGAGATCATCATCCAATCAGCATTACGTAATTTGCTTACATTCACTATAGGGGCACGAGACTTTGGTGGGACAGATGTATAAAAGATAGTGCACACAAATCTTCAGGGAGACAGCGGCCCGCTACCAGGGAGTTCACTACTGATACCAAGAAAATTACCAGAGCAAACCAATCACGCCGCAGTCGATGTAACCCGTAAAATACATGTACCTTTGATATTGTATGCATCCCCGTTGGATAAATAGACCTAACCATCATTGACCTAGATGTGTAATACGTTTACTTCGATGTTGACAAACGATTAACGTACCAAAAAAAGGAGATCTTTTTTATATAGTATATTTTATAACTAGTGTGTTTAGAAGGGTTTTTATGTTATTTATACTTGTAGGAGTATTGGAAGTTTTGTATATTATAAAGCTTAAATAAATCTTGTTATCTGTTGTACATGCAATAAGTCAGTCAATGCTAACGAGTTTCTGAGCTACTATTTTTAAACCAGTGCCTTAGCTGTTTTGCCTTTTTCGCTACCATTACCTTGGCCATTTTGCCAGCTACGCTACCAGATATAAATAGTTTGCAACTCAATACCAGGGTTGACAGATATTAGAATTTACAACAATATAGTCACCAGTGTGTTAACCATTTTTTGAACCTGCATATATACCTTTTACTTTCGGGTCACACCTACCTGTATCGTAACAGTATGGATATTGAAAACTTTAATCTTTACACAAATTTACACTCGTTACAGATCATCACCTATTGCGAAATATCTTTAACAACCCAACGCCAGCGAGAAATACAAAGAATGAGATTAAAACTGATAATCTATGATTTCAACGTTCAGATGGTGACATGATTCACATTTCGACCTAGTTATGCTCCCTGAGTGTTCATCTCAAATAGACCAAATTTAAAATTTGATTAGTACATTTAGATAGAGGTTTAAATCATTTCTCGAGAAACTCACGGAAGAGTAACAAAGGGGCAAACCATTGCATAAATGTCCGGATATAAAAACATACGTATGGTAAAGGAAATCCACTCAATACTGTATTTTTACTATGGCAAAATACTTGATCAGGATTACTTTTTCAATCAAGTATGAAATTTCTTCATGACACTTCATCGTAAAAGTGGCACAGCTTAATGCGTAAAAGGAGTTTCAATGAAAACGAAAAGAACGCTTTATATATATCGTGCGTACGACGTTTTTTTCTTAATTTCCCCGGATTGTTCTCCATAGGAGAGCAAAGGCTTCTTTAATACGTTAAGAGCTATATGAAAATTGTATTATATCTTTGACCAGTTTTTGCATGTTCAACCATAGAAAGCATTTTGGCCATTAAAAAGAATAAAATGACAATATTGTCGCTTATAGACCCTAATTATGATTTTAAAATAACAGAAAATAGTACATATGAAAAATGTTTAGATATTTCTATATAAATCAATAGATGATTGAATTAATGTTTTTATTTCCCGTAAAACTTAAGATACACTGTCAAAGAAACATATCTGAATTTAACTTTAAGGTAAAATTATTACGTTCTGTATGAACAATAAAATTTAAATTAACTTGTAGGTACTGACTTTCAAATCTATAACTTTGATAAATTTACATATTGTATTGTAGTATTACAGTATCAATTGTAATCTTATATTACAGATCATAATTATAACATAACGTACTATCATGTTTTAGTAGGATATTTGTGGCTCAATGTTCGTTATTTGTGTAGGATTTTGTAACCGTTGTCTTTTCAACTTTTACCCCGTAGGCATCGTATTTCTTGTCCTTTTTACGACGTATGATTTCTGGTTGCTTTCTGAAACATGTATTTTTTGTCATCTATTCGTTACAGCTACTGAATCCAAAAGAAATGTGTACCTCACTTATATGTATGTTGTCCTTCTTTTCTCTTTCATACGTGTTAACTAACATTTTCTTCTATTGAATATGCATAGCTGTATATATGTTTTAGATATAAATTTCCTTATTTGTCAAGTGGGTTTCGAGGTGTACGGATTAATCCTCGTTCTCTTGCATATACCTTTGCTTAAAATGAAAATAGGGATTTCCCTCAATTATGCAACCATTGATTGTTTATTTTTAAATAAAGACGTCATTTCTGGTGAGTCGGTATTTGTGAACACAATGGTTTGTCTTTCTTAGTGGATTTGAGCAGAATTGGCACTCTCTACAGTGAGTTAACTCAATTCTATACATGTAAAAACTCACATTATGTTGTGAGTATTTAAAATTGGTACTAAAACCATTCTTTACTTTCTAGAAAACTCAGTTCGTCGTATTTGTACGTTGTATGTCGTGCAGATTTCAGTGAATAAAATGGCGAACCTGTTTCATTCTACTGTTTAAGGTCAAAAACGCAGTCGATCAATTCAAATATGATGAGTTATTTTTTTGTAAAGAGGGGTTAGTTTTGTAAAAGTAATAATTGGTGTCACTTTGAGGATTTTTTTGTACTAATTATTTACTGACTTCAGCTATTATTCGATCCTTTGACATATTGATTCTGGAATCTTGCCAAGGATAAACCTGCACGTCATTGATTTACCTTCTGACATGTTTTCTTTTAATTTGCTAAAAGGCTGGTTGTTATTGTAAGTCACCGTATACGCAGATAATATATAGCAACATAATCACATCACAAGGAAACATCCATTTAAAACTGTTCTGTCACTTTAATCCAAAATTGTAAATAGCTATTTCCCTGTGATACTTTATTATATCACAAGTTTAACATATTTTGGTAGGCTTGTACAAAAAAGTGTAATTTAATTTTTATCTCTGAAATGTATACGTCAGCAAATGCTGCATTAGTTCTAGATAAGTTATATTGATAAAATATTTATTAAAATATAAAAATGCTATTTCAAAAGTTTAATTAATTGAGCATGATTCCACGAATCATCTGTATAATCATCTTCACGTGTTTCGAAACTTTTACTGTGAACGTTCTGGGTAAAGGTGAATACAGAAAATAGCTTCGGACACATAAAATATATACTGTGTTGTTTTCATTTTCTAATACTTATTCGATGGCGAAGTAGTATCAGTTACGTATTTGTCTTTCATATTATGCATTCTATAGATTTCAGATATTTCAATTGGTTCTGTGATGTCACGTGCTGATTGTGTATATTTCGTACATGGTGTGTACAAGAGTTGTAGTTACTGACATTGCCCGATTTTAGACAGCCTCTATTATATATTCAAAGTTAGTAATAGATACTCATGGTCTTTTTTACAAGTATCAGATCATATATAGGATATAAATATTACGAAGTAACCTAATATTGTATATACACGGTCATTAAATTTGTTTTGAGGATTCGAGCTACGATCTCATCCATATAAAATTTACTGACAGTGTATATGGAACGGGGACCCAATTATTTGCCCCATTGAAACGCAATGAAAATCATAGTAAATAAATGGGGTGCTATTCAATTAATAATTTTGATAGCCACCTTGGGACTTCTGGTTCATGTTAGGCATTTGTTTTGGAGTTTTTAAGTACAATCTCAGTGCCTCATGACCGGCATTCCGTTGCACAATTTTGTTTTGATTGACAACAAGGTCAGTCCGCCTACTTCCGGGGAAAAATAAAGGCTAGAATTTAGGAAATTTACTCTATGTACTGACGCCAGATTACATTTAAATCAATCAAAATTTTTACAGAAATTCAAACTAGAAAGCCTACCCCTTCAAATAAATCTACATTTAGTTACAGAACTTGTGTAATAATAACACTACACCACTTTAAATAAAAGTTATAATTTTTTTTTAAGAACTACATTCGTGGGTACCGGACTGGTTGCCGTAACTGGGATCCTATTCCATATATCATTTTATGTCACTAACGACATGTGTAATATATACATGATATAATTTGTCTATCTACATAATAACTATATTATTTTGACCTTTTATACAAAACCGAAAACGAAAACAAAGATGATATGATATTTGATTTGATAACTAAAAGTGAAGAACAAATACATGTTGTGACAATCCTAAGAAGAATACTATTTTGATATTATTATCATAGAACAAATGGAAGGTTTTAAGTTAAGAATATCAATGTATGTATCTTTTTGTAAATCTTCTTTCTGACATATTTGCATAAAAAACATATTATTTGCTTCTTGACCAATTACGAGACATGAATTCCTTATGACTAAAAGTTACGATCCTATTAATTATATTTTGAAATTTCGATAGAGATTATCTTTCTACTGCTTTATAAGTTTGGTAGATTTGATGTGATTTTACAGAGGGGTCTATGTCTTTCGGTCAAAACATAACAAGGTTAGATGACCTTAATCCATTAATTAATGTTCCCCCTTATAATCACGGTTTAGGAGTTCATCCAAAAATAAGTTCTGATGTGGAAATCCCATGAACCGTTAACTTTTTTACTGTTATCACAGTCACATATACGGCACTCCAATGTTGAAGACCCTAGTTTTTGCGAATTAGGGAGAAATAGTCACTTACGATATTTGTGGAACCATACGGAGGGTCATAGCTTTTAAAAACAACACCATTTACTTTTTGACAGCTGTTGAAAAGATGTACAAAACAAATATGAGATACAGCAACAAACGACAACCACTGAATTACAGGTTCATGACAGGAACATGTAGAGCATGGAACCCCACCCCCCCCCCCCCTAAAATGGGACAGTGGTATTACAGTAAATTATATAAATGAACTTTCAAAATCAGTATAAAAAGGCTTGACTCATCAAATCGAAACAAAGCACACACAAATAAAAACAACTTACAAAAAAACTTAAGACACAAAGTAGCGATCTGAGAGTACTCGCGGTTACTGAAAGCTAGTTGAAAGCCAATAACAACTATCCAAAATCATTAATAAAATATCAATCAGTACACATTAAATTGATTTAGTGTAAAGACGTCATAAACAGTCAGAGAAAAATATGATCTCTTGTGCAATGCAAAATATAATTATCGCCAGAATGTAGGACCGTAAATATTATTATTTGCATACATTTGTAGCAATAATACTTAGTTATGTTCTAATTTATTGATAACAAAATGTTAATATTGATGAAAACAATATTCAAAGATCTTATTATAATGTTGAATTTAAGACCTTTTTAGAATAATTAATTAAAGAATCGAAAGGTTTACTCGGATAGTATTTTAATTTATGGGCTCTATAAACAACATCATAACAAATAGGATGTGGTATGTCGTTTTATTTTTGTACAGTCAATCTTCTCAACCAAATCTTTTTTTTATATACGAACGAATTTAGTAGATGAGTTAAGTAATCTAAATATAAGGCTGTTCATATTTGTTTGGCTTTTTTCATAACAGTAGCTGAAATCAACACAATTGGAAAGTCAACTCAAATACGAAGTTTAAGAGCTTAAAAACCGAAAATTCCAAAAGATTGTTCTAAATACGGCCAAGGCAATTTATGTCTGAGGTAGAAAAACCTAAGAATTTCGAATGATTCAACATTTTATAAAAACGGGAAATGCATAAAAAGACTGGAACTATACTGGTTGCATCATTTCGGTAGAATTTTGATTGAAGGATAATATATGTATAGCTACACCTGCATCATGATGTGATCTACATCTTCAAATCGACAGTGATTGGAGATTGAGATGTAAAAATAAAGTCAGAAAATACTAAGGGACCAATCAAGAACTTTAAGTCGATAAAGAAATATATACAATCACCAAATGAGAAACAAATCAGTTAAAAACAACAATCTTCAAAATAAATTACAAAAAATCTAAAACATTTAATAACACGAACCCCGCCAAAAAGCGGCAATGAACTCCAGGAACCAGAAGTCATAACAGTTCTGCTCAATTTATGGCATCCTTCGTGTTACTCTTTTTGATTTTTTGTATATGGCATAACCGATAATAATTAGCATTATACAGTTGGAATTTATTAAATAGGAATTTAGCAAATATATTTTGTATCAGACATTATCAAATTTGTAAACCGTCGGTATATGTGAGGTCTATAAATAATTTAATTAACCAAAGATGAAACTTTGAAATGAACAAAAAACAATTTTACGATCAAACAGATGGAAATGATTTTTCCATTGTCTATTGCCGATGTGTTAGCATCATTTCAACAGTACTTTCACAAATGTTTCACAAGGTATCCGTAAGTTGTTTTAAAAATATATAGGTTCGTAATTTTCAACATTTTGCTGTTTGAACATGTGAAAATAAACATAAAATTTCAAAGGTGAAGTTTATCATCTCCTAAAACATGTGTACCCCAATTTTTGACATGTTTACCTATTATGTCTGTTTGTTTTGCTCACACATAGTTGTCAATATAAAGGAATTCTATGCGACTGTCATACCAGTGAATGTTAAGCTAGCTATGAAACCATGTTTAATCCACTATTTTTAACATAAGGAAATGCCTGTACCAAGTCAGGAATATGACAGTTGTTTTCTATTCTTTTGCTGTGTTTTAGCTTTTTATTCTGCCATTTGATAAGTGAATTTCGGTTTTGAATTTTACTTGGAGTTCGGTATTTTTTTTATTTTACTTTTTTCGTATGAGAGCAGTAACTAATTTTCATTTCGACTTTTACTTGGGTTTATGCTGTGTTTTGATAGTTTCATTTTATATGTGTGTGGTGTTTGGCGGCCATTGGTTATCTTTTCAAATTTGTTTTATTGTCCATGATAATTTATGTCCTTGTTTTTGTTATTATTTTTTATAGACAAACCAAGAACTTGTAGGACTTAATTTGTTGATTCATCTATTTATTCATTCATTTATTTATCTTACTATTTGATATCCATAATTGTAACACATTTATTTTGTGTTTTGTAGATGGCTGAATCAGTTCTTTGCAGACGTACACCTGAAAGTAAGTGCATATTTTTTTTCCGGTAAAGTAAATAAATAGATTGAAAAATAAGAATGCTATCATGTTTGATTTTGTAATAAATGAAAATGTTACAAATCACAAAAGGGGAAAATCAGGGAAAATATAACCGCGAATAATTAAATGGTATTGGAATAGATTTTTTAAAAATTACAAAAACTCATTTGAAGTATTCTAAGTATTCTTAAAATTTGCAATAGTGAATTATTTTTTAAAATTAGTTTTGTAATATCACTTTTAATATCGTTAATTTGTATCTAATTTTGGTCCAAATTGGACACCATATATTTATTTAAATTTCTTTTTAGACAGGTCCCAAACTTCTTCAGGAAACAGATTCAGTCATATAAATGCTGCACTTTTAAAAAAACGACATAATTATGATATGCTGTGTAGTGAAATAGAAAATATTCAAAAAATTATGGAATGTTTGCTGCAAAAAGAAACTATCATAGAAGAAGAATTTAGTGAAGTAATTTCTATAGAAAGAAGAGGGCGACGAGTAGCTAAACTTTTAGAAATATTGTTCACAAGGCCGACTGGACAATGGGAAGAAACATTCCTAGACATTCTTGAAGTCACTGGTCAGAGTAATGTTATCAACAGACTAAAAAAACGTACACCTCCCAGTTCACCGAGTGGTATGTTATATCAATTTTGTTTAAGCTTCGTATATTTAAAACACGTTGACTCTTTTTGTATAAAGATTTTGATTGAACGTCAATAACACAATTACCTAATAACACATGTTAGCAAAATTAGTTATAAGCTACATGTATGTTGTCCACGACAATTTACAAGAGCTAACACCATTATACGGAAAGTAACGACCACTAACGTACAAGCTAAGTGAGCATAAATATGACAGAAACGACCAATTGTTTGATTTAAACACCGGATTCTAAAGTTGGAAGACTATTAAGGGATTCCTTTCAGTTAAAATATATATAAGATCCATTTCGTTAGATCTGGTGATCAATTTATTTGGCAATCGCCAGTTAAAGTCAGCAGTGTTTAAGAACATCAGTTGTTCGACCTGTTAGTCAAATGCATTTTGTTAAACAAGACTTTTTCACTATTTTTGGTCTTTTGGAAATTGTTGTTTGTGCTGTATTTAGACCCCTCTATCAAGAAATTTGTTTTACATGCACACGTATAGAAATTGCGGTTTTTGTCCAATGCAATCATAGGTTTGAACGTTGTTTTCAATTTAAACTTTTATATATTTTTTCGTTTGGGCTTGTATTATATTTTCCTTCGGGTTTATATGATCCGTTTATCCTATTTCGACTCTTTGAAATTCAAGAGTCTATCCTAAATTGAGGTAAATTATATGGCCTTTCAAATACCGTTTCGATCCCTAACATCACTGAAGAGACATTAATTGTCGAAATCCGGATATGGTGTACAACTTTTTGCACCTTATGTGGTATACCATCTTTTCCTCAAGTTTATTGTTTTCTGTTTGGTATTAAATTGATATTAAGATCCATTTCGTTAGATCTGGTGATCAATTTATTTGGCAATCGCCAATGGTAGTCAGCAGGGTTTAAGAACATCAGTTGTTCGACCTGTTAGTCAAATGCGTTTTGTTAAAATAGTCTTTTTCACTTTTTTTGGTCTTTTGGAAATTGTTGTTTGTGCTGTATTTAGACCCCTTTGTCAAGAAATTTGTTTTACATGCACACGTATAAAAATTGTGGTTTTTATCCAACGCAATCATAGGTTTGAACGTTGTTTTCAATTTAGACTTTTATATATTTTTTCGTTTGGGCTTGTATTATATTTTCCTTCGGGTTTATATGATCCGTTCATCTATTTCGACTCTTTAAAATTCAAGAGTCTATCCTAAATTGAGGTAAATTATATGGCATTCCAAATACCGTTTTGATCCCTAACTTCACTGAAGAGACATTAATTGTTGAAATCCGGATATGGTGTACAAATTTTTGCACCTTATATTTGTGGTATACCATCTTTTCCTCAAGTTTTTGTTTTCTGTTTGGTATTAAATTAATATTAAGATCCATTTCGTTAGATCTGGTGATCAATTTATTTGGCAATCGCCAATGGCAGTCAGCAGGGTTTAAGAACATCAGTTGTTCGACCTGTTAGTCAAATGCGTTTTGTTGAAATAGACTTTTTCACTTTTTTTGGGTCTTTTGGAAATTGTTGTTTGTGCTTTAATTAGACCCCTCCCTCTTTCAAGAAATTTGTTTTACATGCACACGTATTAAAAGTGCGGTTTTTATCCAACGCAATCATAGGTTTGAACGTTGTTTTCAATTTAGATTTTTATATATTTTTTCGTTTGGGCTTGTATTATATTTTCCTTCGGGTTTATATGATCCATTCATCCTATTTTGACTCTTTAAAATTCAAGAGTGTATCCTAAATTGAGGTAAATTATATGGCATTCCAAATACCGTTTCGATCCCTAACATCACTGAAGAGACATTAATTGTCGAAATCCAAATATGGTGTACAAATTTTTGCACCTTATGTTTGTGGTATACCATCTTTTCCACAAGTTTATTGTTTTTTTGTTTGGTATTAAATTAATATTAAGATCCATTTCGTTAGATCTGGTGATCAATTTATTTGGCAATCGCCAATGGCAGTCAGCAGGGTTTAAGAACATCAGTTGTTCGACCTGTTAGTCAAATGCGTTTTGTTAAAATAGAAATTTTTAATTTTTTGTGGTCTTTTGGAAATTGTTGTTTGTGCTGTAATTAGACCCCTCTTTCAAGAAATTTGTTTTACATGCACACGTATAAAAATTGCGGTTTTTATCTAACGCAATCATAGGTTTGAACGTTGTTTTCAATTCAAACTTTTTTATATTTTTTCGTTTGGGCTTGTATTATATTTTCCTTCGGGTTTATATGATCCATTCATCCTATTTCGACTCTTTAAAATTCAAGAGTGTACCCTAAATTGAGGTAAATTATATGGCATTCCAAATACCGTTTCGATCCCTAACATCACTGAAGAGACATTAATTGTCGAAATCCGTATATGGTGTACAAATTTTTGCACCTTATGTTTGTGGTATACCATCTTTTCCTCAAGTTTATTGTTTTCTGTTTGGTATTAAATTAATATTAAGATCCATTTCGTTAGATCTGGTGATCAATTTATTTGGCAATCGCCAATGGTAGTCAGCAGGGTTTAAGAACATCAGTTGTTCGACCTGTAAGTCAAATGCGTTTTGTTAAAATAGTCTTTTTCACTTTTTTTGGTCTTTTGGAAATTGTTGTTTGTGCTGTATTTAGACCCCTTTGTCAAGAAATTTGTTTTACATGCACACGTATAAAAAGTGCGGTTTTTATCCAACGCAATCATAGGTTTGAACGTTGTTTTCAATTTAGACTTTTATATATTTTTTCGTTTGGGCTTGTATTATATTTTCCTTCGGGTTTATATGATCCGTTCATCTATTTCGACTCTTTAAAATTCAAGAGTCTATCCTAAATTGAGGTAAATTATATGGCATTCCAAATACCGTTTCGATCCCTAACATCACTAAAGAGACATTAATTGTCGAAATCCGGATATGGTGTACACATTTTTGCACCTTATGTTTGTGGTATACCATCTTTTCCTCAAGTTTATTGTTTTCTGTTTGGTATTAAATTAATATTAAGATCCATTTCGTTAGCTCTGGTGATCAATTTATTTGGCAATCGCCAATGGCAGTCAGCAGGGTTTAAGAACATCAGTTGTTCGACCTGGTAGTCAAATGCGTTTTGTTAAAATAGACTTTTTCACTTTTTTTGGTCTTTTGGAAATTGTTGTTTGTGCTGTAATTAGACCCCTCTTTCAAGAAATTCGTTTTACATGCACACGTATAGAAATTGCGGTTTTTATCCAACGCAATCATAGGTTTGAACGTTGTTTTCAATTAAGACTTTTATATATTTTTTCGTTTGGGCTTGTATTATATTTTCCTTCGGGTTTATATGGTCCATTCATCCTATTTCGACTCTTTAAAATTCAAGAGTCTATCCTAAATTGAGGTAAATTATATGGCATTCCAAATACCGTTTCGATCCCTAACATCACTGAAGAGACATTAATTGTCGAAATCCGGATATGGTGTACAAAGTTTTGCACCTTATGTTTGTGGTATACCATCTTTTCCACAAGTTTATTGTTTTTTGTTTGGTATTAAATTAATATTAAGATCCATTTCGTTAGATCTGGTGATCAATTTATTTGGCAATCGCCAATGGCACTCAGCAGGGTTTAAGAACATCAGTTGTTCGACCTGTTAGTCAAATGCGTTTTGTTAAAATAGACTTTTTCACTTTTTTAGGTCTTTTGGAAATTGTTGTTTGTGCTGTATTTAGACCCCTTTGTCAAGAAATTTGTTTTACATGCACATGTATAAAAATTGCGGTTTTTATCCAACGCAATCATAGGTTTGACCGTTGTTATCAATTTAGACATTTATATATATATATATATATATATATATATTTATATTTATATATAAGTCTAGAGATTTGCACAACGATACTAATATAAGATGGTATTATACGAAGATGTTGTTAATAAATCGTGTTGACAAATATTTCGGCTTAACAAATAGCCTTCTTCGGTGTCAATTATTTTAACAATACTGATAATATGTATAAAAATAGCTCAATAATACAGGTAAGTTTTGGTCTATTGATTTAATCCAAAATCCTGAACATCATAATATAAAACAAAACTCAATACTCAAATATACGTGACTGTGTATATTTACAACCCAAAATGAGTGAACAATAAAACTTAGTATTTTTTATTGATGCCGTTTGGATGATGTACATTTAGTTCCTTTATCCAAAAGCTTTCCCGAACCTGTCGCTGGGCATCACTCCAGTGAATGTTCTGTTCAATCACTAGGATCTTCATGCGGTTAAAGTCATCAAGTGTGTGACCAGACTGTCTGAAATGTTGAGAAACTGGGAGAAGTGGCTTCTTAGAGATATCACTCCTATGGCCATTGAGGCGTTTGTGGAAAGGCTGCTTTGACTCACCAACATATTGGAGGCCACAAACCGAACATTCTAGAATGTAAATAACATTCATACTTTTGCAGTTAACATTGCAAAATATCTTATAGTTATTTTCGGTTGCCTTACTGTGAAAAGTTGATGAGTGATGCATCTGTAGGCAGCATTTGCAGCGTTTTTCATCACACGAACGACATTCTCCAGAAGTACTTCTATTATCAGACACTTCAGCCCGCACCAGCAGGTTACGCAGACTATTGGGTTGCCTAAAAGCTATCATGGGAGGCTCGGGAAAAATCTTGGATAGTTTGGAATTCTTTTCAACTGTTTTCCAATGCTCACGAATGACACCGATGCTGTTTTTGAGAGATGGGTGGTAAGTAAGAACACATGGAGTCCTTTTATTTTTCTTTTTATATTTGTATTCTAACAGTTTACTCCTTGGAATAGTTTCCGCTTTCTGAAAGCCTTTTTGGATAGTTTTGTGTTTGTAGCCCCTTCTCTTCAAGCGGGTTTCGAGTTGACGTAGTTGTTTTTTTGTTGTTTCTGAGTTGGAACATATTCGCTTGACTCTGAGTGCCTGACTGTACGGGATGCTCTTAGTACAATGAGCAGGATGGCAACTTTTAGGGGACAGA